CGCGGCGGCAGGTCCCCGGCAACGCTATTTGCTTACGTTCGTCTGGGAGATTGTAATGAAGACTTTGAAAGGAAGCGTGATTGAGGTTTAAGGGACGTCGAAATGCTGGGCCAGCACGCCGTGCTCAGACCTGCTCGTTAGGCGGGATTGTGGCTGCTGCGTGCGGAAGGAAAGCCTTTTTCCAAGTGTGCAGCCCCGGAGGCACCCACGCCTGGACCACTGAGTCATCCGCCCACGGGACTCAAGTGCTCGCAGGGTCTCAATGATCTATAACAAACTTGCCTTTTGCTGCCCAATGGCAGGATTCTCAAGGTACCTGCCCAGCCAGGCTGTGGCGGCTCCGTGGACCAAGAGGTCCTGGGTTCCATTCCCGGTCCAGGCACATGCCCCGGTTGCAGGCTCGATCCCCAGTAGGGGGCGTGCAGGAGGCAGCCCATCCATGATTCTCTCTCCCTTCCTCCCTGAAGTCAATATCTTTTAAACGTCTGCCCATTGTGAAATGTAATAAACCAGAGGTGAGACGGTTGTGACTATCCGGGGGAGCTTGCGAAGAGGGACTGCTCCCCGGGGGCCCTCGTCGCTCCTGCCCGAGAGAGGACTCACCTCCCTCCCACCGGGCGCCTGGTCGGGCCCAGCCAGGTCCCTGTGGGAGAGTCAGAGGTGGGAGCCGGGCGCTGGGAGCTGCAGGTAGCGCTGGACTCCGCCTCCAGGTGCTGCCCCGGGTCTGCGCCAGGTGGGCCCAGTGAGGGACCCCAGGGCCCAGCACCCGGGGCCAGCACTGCTCACAGGGAACAGCAGGGGCAGAAAGACTCACTTTGTTTCTGGAAGAAACAGGAAGGACAGAGCTGAGGGAGACCGCATCTGAGCCCTCCTGGCCCCCTGGCACCGCAGGGCTTGGCGCTGCCACGGCCGTCCTAGCGACGCGCCCGGGACCGGCTGAGAGGTGACGCCTCTCAATGCGCTGACCGCTCCTAAGGGGGTTCCGTGGGGCAGCAGGTGTCGTGGCTGGGCAAGGCAGAGGGATGTCCTCCGCCATCAGCACTGACTCCTCCGGGGAACGCGTTTAAAAATGAAGTCCTTCCCGTGTCTAGGCCTCTTTTTCCTCCAAGAAAAATGAATGGCCGTAGACGACAGTGGCGGTCCCTTAAAGCGGAGAGAAACCGGGAGGAGCTGGCCCAGGGCAGGATGCGGGGGGGGGGGGGGGGGAATTCGGGGGGTGGGGGTGGGGGGGTCTGAACTCGCAGGGACACTGTTCCTACTTTCCCGGGCCGCGCTGTCCCCTCGCAAGCCTGTTGTCAGGAACAGAGTGTGAGCCGAGATGGCAGATCTCGTCCGTTGAATGCATGTTCCCTGAGGGCGGGCCGGGCCCTTGGAGGGACCGGGCGTCACCGGCCAGGTGTCCAGCGGAGCCGTATGTTTTGGTGCAGAAGAAATCTCAGGCACACAGCAGCGTGGATCTTTGGAGCTGGGGGAAAAAGATAAAATCAGTGTCCGCTCCACGACGGTCATGGTGAGCTGCCACACTGGGCAGGGGTCCGTGGGGAATTCTTCTTAAGCCGTGGCCAGAAGACACCCCAGGCGGTCCATGGGAAAGCCGGGCCCTTCGGTACCAGAGGCGAGAATGTTGGTCTTTCTTCGCCCCACGTCAGAAAGGCCGGGCCATGTCCTCCCCTGGCCATGGCCGGCGGCACAGGTGACATCTCAGAACCCCACCTCAGTGCCCTTTGACTTCCCACCTGTGTCCCTTGTCAGAATAAGAGCTTTCTCTCTCATTGTGTGAGTGAACCCTTGTTTTCTTTTCTTTTTAAAAAAATATATTGTTAGTATTGATTTCAGGGAGGAAGGGAGAGGGATAGAGAGATAGAAACATCAATGATGAGGAGAGAGCATCGATCAGCTGCCTCCTGCACGGCCCACACTGGGGATCAAGCCTGCAGCCCAGGCCTGTGCCCCGACCGGGAGTCCAACCGTGACCTCCTGGTTCACAAGTTGATGCTCAACCGCTGAGCCTTGCCAGCTGGGCCCCCTTTTTCTTTTGCTTTAAACGTTCTCTCTCCTCTTCCTAACAGCCAGGGAGGGGAAGGAGTTGTTGTCACTCTATGGAGTGCCTGCCTCAGCTTTACTCTATCATTTGTGCAGAGCCCTGCTGCTCTCCCCAATTATCATAAATAGCGCTGCCGGCTGTCCTTCCTCAGGCCGCTCTCTCCTAAGGAGGAGGAGGACTTTGGCTTTTTTTATTCTCCCCAGCGTTCCTGGGATACAAGCCCGGCCGGATACGCAGGACTGTCCCTGAACATAGACTCCTAAGGCCAAGCAAGTGTGACATCGGCAGCCAAGTTCACAGGTTGTCACAGGAAAGCTAACTGGGGAGAAATGACACTCCTGCATGCGGAAGTTCACACAGGAGAGCTTTTATTTTTATTTATTTATTTATGTTTTAAAAAATATATATATTTTATTGATTTTTTACAGAGAGGAAGGATAGAGAGTTAGAAACATCGATGAGAGAGAAACATCGATCAGCTGCCTCCTGCACACCCCCTACTGGGGATGTGCCCGCGGGCCTTACTCGCCCAGGGACCCTCGATCAGTTATACAGTCTCTCCACGTCCTCGAGTGCTCATCCATAAGATGGAGGCGGTGAAATAATGCCTCCATGGGCAGCTGGAAATGACGCGTCTTGTGCTCATGTGAATCTCTGAGAAGGGTTAGAACTTGTAACTTTTAGCTGATTTTTCGGACCAGGAATGAACTCCCCTCTCCTCCTCCTCCCCCACCCCCGGCAAAAAAAAACAAACAAAAACCCCACAAAAAAAACAAAACAATCCACAGCACTTATCCTACTGAACCTAGTTTTGGGGCATCTAATTATTGCTTGTGCTTCAAGATTCATTTCTAAAAACTCCATTATTTCAATGTCCCAAGGAGTATTTAAATGTGATCACGTTGCTTCTTTATTGTTGATAAAGACCTGGGGAAATTAATTCGAACAAGTGTTGTCGAGGAGCCGGAACGCAAGCTAACAGCCTGCACACTTCTATTAATGACGGAGCTTTCATTAATTACGAGCTGGCTCTTCAGAGGAATGGCAGGTCCGTGAGAGCGGCCCTGGCCTGCGGTAGATTCATGAACACGGAGAAGGTGACCTTACGTCTTAAAATTAAAGGCTGCACGTACGCACGATGAGTCGGCATTACGGGCCCTTTAACTCCTCTTTCCCGTAGCTTATGGTCACGACATTTATGTGCATGGTTGGGCAAAGGAAGAAGAATCATGTAAAGTTTAATGAGCAGCACTTATTTTAATTAGGGGAGAAGTTTTTAAATCGTTTCCACAAGCTTCTCATCATGACAGGAAAGAAAAAAGATTGCCTCCCGCTTGTAAATCCGGGCTTTGTTGTGGGAAGGACCAGCCTTCCTTTCTCTGTAGCCTCATGTCGCCCCCACCCCACTCTCACCTCCCCCCCCACACACACACACACAAGATTAGTGTCAGGACTTCCCACCATCTCAGCTTCTGTTTTTTTTCTACAAAGATATGCCCTTTGTTTTTATTTAATAACTAGAGGCCCGTTGCATGAATTCGTGCATGGGTGGGGTCCAGTCAGCCTGCCCTGATTGGAGCTAATTGGGCCGGGCCAGTGGGGGGAGGGGCCGTGGGTGGTTGGAGGGCCGGCCCCACCCCTGAATCGGGGAGGGGGGCGCTGAGCAGGGGTAGGGGTGGCCTGGGGGGGGGGGCCCCAGGCAGTTGGAAATCTGTCAAAATTGTATTATGGAGAAGGGTGTTTTCAGTTCAAACAAACTTATACTATACTAGAGGCTGGGTGCACAAATTTGTGCATGGGTGGGGTCCGGCAGGCCCACTCTGATCAGGGTCAATCAGGCTGGGCCGGCCTGGGGGAGGGGCTGCCCCGCCCCCTGGTCAAACTACCGGTCGAGGGGACAATTTGCATATTAGCCTTTTATTATATAGGATGTTATTGGGGTGATGTTGGTCAACACAAACATATAGGTTGCATGTGTGTGTTTCCAAGTTACAAATCTGTATAGAGCACCATGTGCCCAGCACCCGACTTCTCAACTACATCCTATCCCCGGCGCCCCGTTCCCTCGCCGTGAGTACCAACCCCTGCAGCTCTGAGTTGGGCAGGGCCTTCAAGGTCATTGAATGGCCCATGTGCAAGCTGCGTGCTCTGTGCTGCCCTCCTCTGAGGACCTGATGGCAGTTAACTCCGTGGGTTCTTCCAGCGGGCCGCGATGGCGTTGTTTCTGTCATCGCTCTTTGACGGGGGATGACGCCGAGGCAAAGAGAAGGTCTGACCTTGGTTAAGGTCATTCAGCGAGTCTGAGGCAAAGCCAAGACGCAGCCCCCCTCCAGGCTCCGGACTTCCCATCCCCGCTGCCTGGAGGGACGGGTGTGCTGAGCACCCAGCCAGGTGCCACTGCTCCGCCCGCGCTCTCTCCTGGGCCTGGAGGGTCACTCCTGACCACCTGCCTGCATGGGGCTGCAGGAGACGGTCCCGTTCTGCAGGGGTGTGGCAGGGAGGACACCTCAGCCCTGGCTGGGGGCTCAGCTGGTGGAGCTCATCCCGTGCACCTGAAGGTGGCAGGTTCGATTCCTGGTCAGCGCACGTACCTAGGTCGCAGGTTTGATCCCTACTGGGGCTTGTGGGGAAGGTAGCTGATGGGTGTTTCTCTCTCCCATTGATGTTTCTCTCTTTCCCCACTTCTCTCTCTAAAATCAATCAATCAGTTCTGGCCGGTTTGGCTCAGTGGATAGAGCGTCAGCCTGTGGACTGAAGGGTCCTTTTCCATCCTCGATTCTCTCACAGCAGGTGGCCCAGGAGTCGGAGGTCCCTGTGAGTGCTCTGTGCCCCATCCATCCCCCTTAGAACTGTGGGTGCTGGGGCTGTGGCTAAGCCTCAGGGGTGACCTGGGCTCACCTGGTTAACCCTGGGAGTCGAGGACAAGCTCACAGCTCGGGCAGAGGCTGTGGTCAACATGGGCCTGAACTTGAATTCTGATTCTGCGGTTCTGGAGACTCGCTCTCATCTCTACGACAGAATCAAACTTAACAAGACACATCACGTAAAAAACATGGAATGCAGTCACATACCAAGCATGAGTGAGCACCTCCTGAGAGCCCAGGTCCTGGGTATATTTTATTTTTGTTAAATAACTAGAGGCCTGGTGCACGAATTCGTGCACGGGCGAGGGCTGGCCGACGCGGGGAGGGAAGGAGGGAATGCCAAAGGTTGGCTGGCCGGCCCCGCCCCCCGATCGAGGGGACAATTTGCATATGGGGCTTTTATTATATAGGATTTTAATGTTGATACTATTGCACATGCCCCCTTTCTCCCCTCCTTTGCCCACCTGCTCCCCCCTCACCTGGCCCTCACCACACTATTGTCCGTGTCCGTGGGGTGTGCATGTGTGATCTTTAGCGAATCCCTTCGCCTTCTTTATCCAGTCATCCCAGCCCCCTCCCCTCGGGCACCGGCCAGTCAGTGCCAGGTACCCATGCTTCCCGTTCCACTCTGTTCATCAGTGTATATTGTTCATTAGATTCCACATATGAGTGAGGTCATGTGACACTTGTCTTTCTCTGACTGGCTTATTTCGCTCAGCATAACACTCTCCAGGTCCCTCCATGCTGTCCCAAAGGGTAAGAGCTCCCTCTTTTTTCCTGCTGCATAGTATTCCATGGTGTAAATGTACCACAGCTTTTTTACCCACTCACCTGCTGATGGGCACTTGGGGCCTCTCTTGACCGAGAGGGCTACGAAGCCGCCACCCGCCCAGGACTTCCAAGTTCCCGTCCTGCGGGACCCTCGGTCCCCCTGGGAGGGGCTGGGGCCTGGCGGTGTGATACTCCCCGGAGCGAGCGAGGTGGTGAAACTGGAGTTTAGGAAACCTTTCTGAGCCCTGTGTTACTTTTTATTTATTTGTTAAAAAAATATTTTTCTTGGGTTACTTTTAAAAATGGAGGTGGTTAGCAGGGTGTGGTGCTGAATTAATGAAGTAATAGGTAGAAGTCCCTAGAGCTGAGACAGTACCCAATAACTGTGAAGGTGAAGAACTGACCCTCTGTCCCCCGTCTTGTTTGGGTCTCACGTCTGCCTAACCCCATTGGATCCGAGCTCCAGTGCTAGGGTCCACAGTGCGGCCGTCCTGGGGCTGTGCTGGCTGCGGGCCTTGTGGGGAGTGGCCCTGTCCCATGGACTTGGGGTGCTGAGGCGCTGGTCCTGGACCCTTGGTGTCACGTTGTGGGCTGCTGGCATGGAGAATGTGCTTTGACTGAGGGTGGAGAGTAAGCTGCTGCAACCCAGGAAACCAGGGCCTGGGGCAGTGCCAGGGTGGAAAGCCATGAGGAGCTAAAGCAGTGGTTCTCAACCTTCCTAATGCCGTGACCCTTTAATACAGTTCCTCATGTTGTGGTGACCCCCAATTTCATTGTTACAAATTGAACATAATTAAAGCATAGTGATTAATCACAAAACAATATGTAATTATATATGTGTTTTCCGATGGTCTTAGGCGACCCCTGTGAAAGGGTTGTTCGACTCCCAAAGGGGTCGCGACACACAGGTTGAGAACCGCTGCTCTAGGACCTTTGGAAGGTTCTCTCTCTCTCTCTCTCTCTCTGTCCAACCAACTGACCCACCCAGCCCAGGCAAAAGATAAGTTTTGACAACAATGGCCAATGATACTGCATTTAGAAAATGTTTTTGGTATTTGAGTAAACTAACAAGGGAGAGAAAATAAAATCCATGTACTTATATTATACCTATTATACCTTATATTATATTATACCAGAGAAAGTAAAGTTTAATCCTGTGAAGATAATTGAAAAACTTATCATTTTGATCGCTTTATTGTTTACTAAATTGCCCCAATTGTGATAATTAAAATGTAATTCATAAAAGAGAAGGTAGGACTAAGTTCCTAGCTGTTATTCGGCTTTAAAAATGTGTTTCCGAAAGCAGTGTGTTGCATGGTATGTAACTAAAGACGGATGGCCTGGGTTCGACCGCTAACTGGCCCCTCCAACAGCATTAACATCAGGCTGAGCGGGGTCAGGGGCACCATCCAAGGGAGACCACTTGCTTTGCTTTCTGTCAGAAAAGATAAAAAATATTTTCGCCCGGTGTGGCTCAGTGGTTGAGCGTCGACCTATGAACCAGGAGGTCTCGGTTCGATTCCCGGTCAGGGCACAGGCCTGGGTTTCGGGCTCGATCCCCAGTAGGGGGTGTGCAGGAGGCAGCTGATCCATGATTCTCTCTCATCGATGTTTCTCTCTCTCTCCCTCTCTCCTCCTCTCTGAAATCAATAAAAATATGTTTAAAAAATATTTTCAAAATGGGGACAAACAAACACTGAGGTGATAGACTGAGGCCTCGCTTGGGAGCCCTGGCTCCATTTATAGAAATCGCAGTGCCCAACCACAGGCCTACAGGGTGTCTTCTTGTCTGATAAGCCCTCCAGGCGTATGGGCCCGAGGTGGCCAGCGGGGCTGTGAGCCAGTGCAGCACCCCCACCTCCAGGGAGCGGGGGGTGGAGGGGGGCGCGGGCAGGGGTGGTGCATGCGGGAGCCATGTGCGGGGTGCGGGCAGGGATGGATGCCTGTGTGATGGTCCCTAGGATCTTCCCTTGTTGGTTCCCTGGGAACCGAGGCACAAACCCCGGGGCGCTCACGGGCTGCGCTTGCTTCCAGGCATCTACACGTTCGGCCTGTTCGCCACGGACATCTTCGTGAACGCCGGGCAGGTGGTGACGGGGAACCTGGCGCCCCACTTCCTGGCCCTGTGCCGGCCCAACTACACGGCGCTGGGCTGCCAGCAGCTCACGCAGTTCATCAGCGGCGAGGAGGCCTGCACGGGCGACCCCGAGCTCGTCCTCCGGGCCCGGAAGACCTTCCCGTCCAAGGAGGCGGCGCTCAGCGTCTACGCGGCCGTGTACCTGACGGTAAGTGTGGGCCTGACCGCAGCCAGGCCCGCCCCGGTCCCCGCCTGGCAGGAGGGGCACCTCCCCGCCAGCGAGGAGCCCCAGGGGCAGCTTCTGTGGCCACTTTGTGTTTCACCAGAGCTGTTGGTACCGGGAGTAGAATTAATAGTCGGTGGACTCTCGTGAGGTTATGCGTGGGGAGTGGATTGTGTTAGAAAACACAGCCGCTTGCATCGCTATTGGAGACCGTGTTTGTCTCGTGGTAATAGGGCTGGATGGACATACTGTGTCCTGGGGTGGTCAGGCCCCAGGAACCTGCAGTAGCGCCGTGAAGAGAGGTGGCCGGCCTCCTAGCTGCTTACTCACGCCCTCATGGTCTCTGATGGGGCGGAGGGGCCCTCCTTTTCTAGAACGTTCTCTTGGGGGTGTTTGTAATGATAACATGACATTGACTGAGCATTTACTATGTGCCAGGCACCACGTGCTGCACTGTTGCTAATTTATGCACTACTGATCCTCACGTAGGCATCGTTACAACCTATTCTTCCTTTATTATTATTAGTTACGTAATAGTCTGTCCTCTGTACTAACTCACTGGGCTCTCACAACAGCTCCTTGAAGCGTGTCCTGTCATCATGCCCAAGTTACAGATGAGGATAAACCACAAACTGTCCCGACGTCAGTGATGATTCAGAATGTTCCAGAGAGGGGAGCACTACCTCTCTGAGCCCCCCGGGTGGGTGGTCAGGTGACCTCCTTCCTGCCCCCGCCGGTCCCAGCCTCCCTGAAGGCGGAGGCCCAGGGTTCAGAGGGCAGATACCTTCAGGGAAGAAGCATTTAGGAGCCCCAACACCCAGGAACCTTAAATAGCGTGGAGTCCACAGGTCAGGGCTCCTGCCTGTAATTACACGGAAGGGAACCGCTGCCTTTTCAACAATAGGTGCTGTTCTGTGCTAACAGCTCTTCTCTCGGCCCGCCACCCTGAGCGATGGGCGTGTGGGAGGCTGCCATGGCAACCCGTCCGACTCCCGCTGCCAGTGTGGGCATTACCGGCGGCTGTGCTGTTATATTTGAACCTACGTGCAGATGTATTTCTTCCCAGCGTCCCTAGCGACAGCTTGGGGGAACTTTATAATAGACACATTGGGGTGTTTCAAGCATTTACGGTCTCAGAAACCGCTTGCCAGGAGTTTGATAAGTAGGTAAATAGCGGGGAGTTAGTAGATTCCGTGATGGCGGCAGGAACAGGCGTGCCCTGCATTTAGGTAGTGCTGGCTCTGCCTAATGGGGTGCGGCGCTGTAAACACACACACACACACACACACGCACACATGCACACACGCACACGCACACACACACGCACACGCCTCGGGAGGAAGAAGCGTGTGGGTAAGGACCCGGAGATGTTCTCCCGGTGTTTCTCCTTGTGGTTTAGTAAATAACATGAAGGAACTGGGTCGCTCCCTTAGCACCTGGCTTTCCTGAAGGGTTTGGGGATAATTTGATCGCAGGCTTATTCTCTTTTACTTTCCTGAGACTTTTAGGGGGGAAAAATCCCTATGCCTATTTCTGCAAATACATTCGGTTCCCCGGGAGGGGAAAACATTCTGAAGGTTATTGAACCCTCCATCATTAAATTTGTAATTCAGTGTGAGTGGCATTAGAATACTATTTAAGTTTAGCTTCATGGTGTTTCTTATCATATAAAATGGGTAATGTTTATTCCCTGATTAAAGTAAAATGAACTTCAGCCTGGCCAGCGTGGCTCAGTGGTTGAGCATCAACCTATGAGCCAGGAGGTCACGGTTCGATTCCCGGTCAAGGGCACCTGTCCAGGTTGTGGGGTCGATCCACAGTGTGGGGACATGCAGGAGGCAGCTGATCCATGATTCTCTCTCATCATGGATGTTTCTATCTCTCTCTCCCTCTCACTTCTCTCTGAAATCAATAAAAATATATTTTAAAAAGAAAAGGAAAAGGGGTGGATTGTACCTGGACGTCGCACAGGGCACATTAGGAAGGCCGCTGAGAAGTGGGAGCCCAGACGTTCCCGCCCAGCGCCCTGACAGCCAGGTGGCGGAGGAGCTCAAACACCCAAAGTCATACAAATGGCCGTGACGGCTGGGTTTTAATGGTACTTGGACTTTCAGTGAATCCATATTTTATTCCTTGACTCCTCATTTTTAATCTTAGGTTCTGCACATCGTCGGTGATTAAAGAACTTTAATTGCTCTTAAAAGGACAGCTTCTAAGTTACCCTGACTGCGCTTACAGTTTGCAGTGTCTGGTACATGGTCACCCGGCCAGCATGGCCGTGCGCTGTCGATGGGCGCTCCGTGGAGCCCACCCCGTCGGGTCTGACAGACCCAGGTTAGAATGGGCAGCTCTGAAGGTGTGCTCATTCGATATCCAGGGTCACCGAGCCTTCTCGGCCAGGCCCAGGAACGTGCCTGAGTTTGTTTTTCTTTCTTTATAAAAAAAATACTTTTTAATATTTGTATTGATTTCAGAGAGGAAGGGAAAGAGAGAGAGAGAGAAACATCAATGATGAGAGGGAATCATTGATTGGCCACCTCCTGCACGCCCACCGGGGATCAAGCCCGTAACCCGGGCCTGTGCCCTGACCGAGAATCGAACTGTGACCTCCTGGTTCATAGGTCGACGCTCAACCACTGAGCCCCACCGGCCGGGCCCTGAGTCTGTTTTTCAAAAGACAGATCACTGTGCGGCCTGGCCTTGCTCCTGCCTGCCGGAGCCAACACGGATTCCCACCCCGAGCGGCTCCCGTGCCTTCACGTGCAGGAAAACAGCATCACACTGTCATTTCAGTCCCCCAGCACCTCCTAAAGTGAGGCTGCAGCTCAAGATCAAGGGTGTTGCTTGGCATCGGGTCCACTCTGTCACAGGCGGTCGGTCACCTTCTCCTGTGAGCTGGGCCTGCATTGGGCCATTGGTTGTTCTGCCATTGAAAGAAAGACAACCTGGGAGGGGGACAAAGGCCCTCCCGGAACAGGTAGGCCCGCCTCTGCACGAGGCAGGAGCTGAGATTCCCGTGATGCAGGAAGATGAGCTGTTACTGCTGAGTGCCGGCTGTGCTCAGCATGTCGCCTGGCGCATACTTGTCGCTGTCTTTCTTTTGCCGAACATCGTCATCCGGCATCTCCCGTACACAGGCCTGTGTGCCATCAGCTCAGGCACGGCGGAGAGGCAGGCTCTCCTTAGGCCGCTAGGATTCCCGCCGTCAGCAAACAGAGCCAAGAGCCACTCAGAAGTCCTCCACGGATTGGAGCTACCCTCCCGTTTCTGACAAAAACTTCCAGAAAGATTAGTTTGTTCCTTCTCCCCTTATGAACTAGTCAGGATGTGGGTTTTGTCCCTCCCCCCACTCCTCAGACCTCGCCCACCACCTGCGAGCCCATCCGGAGCCTCTCGGGTCCTTGTGTGGCGGGTCATCTCACCAACGCAGAGGCCCGCGGCCACCCACTTGTATCTGAGCGTTTCTCTTGTGAAGACTCTGAGGCCTTGGCTGGTGTGGCTCAGTGAATAGAGCGTCGGCTCTATCTGAAGGGTCCTGGGTTCGATTTCAGTCAAGGGCATGTACCTCAGTTGCAGGCTCTGTCCCGGCCCTGGTTGGGGCACATGTGGGAGGCAACCAATCGATGTGTCTCTCATACGTCAATGTTTCTCTCTCTGTCTCTCCCTCTTCCTTCCACTCTCTCCAAAAATCAATGGAAACATATCCTCGGGGGAGGATTAACAACAAAAAAGAAGGCAGAGAAGAAAAAAAAAAGACTATGAGAGCATCGCATTTTCCAAAGTTGCTTCCTCCCTCATGAAAGGGCTTCTTGCAACATCAGAAAGCCGTCCACCGGCATGTACCAGGTGTCTGTCCGTGACCTTCTGTTCTTCTGTCTGTTACCCCTCCCAAGGGTGCTCTCATTCGTTGCCACACCCGTGTCTTTTCAAATGAACCCCAAACCCCTGCCCTAGCCTCGACCTCCCTCCCTAGCACCAGACTTCACTTCGCCCTGTGTCCTCACGTGGCCTTCGTGAACGTAGTTACCCTTCCAGCTCCAGCTTCCTGTCCCTGAGAGTAAGCCTCAGTGTGTTATTTGCATGTTGCAATAGTGTTGCCGGCTCTACTTCCTCCACTTGCCTTTAAATTTAACGCTGACCGGTTCCTACGTTCACCGAACAGCCTGCTGCGCGTCTGTGTGGCCTTTCTAGCTCTCCAGATGGTTTCACCTGGTCACTTAGAGCCTCACTTGCTAGTCAGCAGACGTGAAGTCCCGGGATGATGTGGTTCTTAAAGTCAGAGGAATCCAATAGCTTCTCCTTGCATCGCCGTCAGAATAAGACAGCAGCCTTGTTTACCTACACGTGTCCTTGCTTTTCTATCTGCTGCCTGGAACACGCGTGTTAAATGGTGACTAGGGGTGGCTTTCGGTTCTATAGATGACAAACAAGGCCACCTCCAAGGGCTCTCACTCTTCTAGCCGATGGACGAAGGGCCACGTGGACAATATATTTATCCGGGAGGGAGAGGGGGTCAGACTGGGTAGAAATGGGCCCCTTGTGGAGCCAGCCAGGGCTGCGCGGCAGGAACGAGGTAACCGTGTGGGCGCTAAAGGGGCTGCTCCTCACGGCCGAGCCATCCATCGGCCATTGTCCTGGGACAGCCGAGGCCCTGGGCCGTCCGATCCTCGCTGCGAGACCAGGTGGCCCTGAGCACTGCGGGCTGTTACTGGCCTCCCACGTGTGACTCCTGCCTGTCTGCTGACCATTCAGGACCCCGGCTACAGGAGAAGTCCTGCAGGACAAGGTCACCATTATGTAGCCTTTTGTTGGTGCCCCTCCAGTGTATTGCAAAGGAGATGATGGTTACTCTTTTTTGTTGTTAATCCTCACCCCAGGATATTTTCCCATTGATTTTTTAGGGAGAGTAGAAGAGAGAGGGAAAGACAGAGAGAAACATTGATGTGAGAGAGACACATCAATTGGTTGCCTCCTGCACGAGCCCCGACCAGGGCCTGGGCCAGGGAGGAGCCTGTAACTGAGCTACATGCCCTTGACTGGAATGGAACCCGGGACCCTTCAGTCCACAGGCCGACGCTCTATCCACTGGGCCACACCGGCCAGGGTGGATGGTTACTCTTGATTTCCAAATACAATAATCTGTCTAAGGCCCTTTATCCCCTCGCCCATACGTTAGGCAGTTGGGTTTACTCCTCCTCCAGCAAATAGATAGTTTCAATCCAAGTATACCATTTTAGTTTATTATTTTGTTGTTTTTGTTAATCCTCACCCGAGGATATTTTTCCATTGATTTTGAGAGAGAGTGGAAGGGAGGGGGAGAGACAGAGAGAAATATCGATGTGAGAGACACATTGATTGGTTGCCTCCCGTACATGCCCCAGACTGGTGGGGCTGGGATCAAGCCTGCAACCGAGGTCCATGCCCTTGACCAAAATCAAACCCGGGACCCTTCAGTCCTCAGGCCGAACCTCTAACCGCTGAGCAACCCGCTAGGCCCCAAATCTATCATTTTAAACCTTTAGGTTTACTCTAGTCACAAAGCAAAGATCTTCATGGTGCCACGTGACAGTAAGAAAAGTTACACTCCTTGTGTGGTTCCTGAGCTCATACAAACAGTTCTTGTCATATTCACTTACAAATGATATGAACCGAGACTCAGAGAAGTAAAGTAATTTGTCTAAGCTCACAGAACTAACCAGTGGAGGGGGGACATGGTAACCGGATTGGTAAGCTCCCGAAACTGGCTTTCCCTCCTGGCCTGCCCTGACCAAGCGTGGACTCTCTCAACACCTACAGGGGGTCCACAGAAAATCCCCCAAACCATCGATTCACTGCGATGAAGTAAAATAGAAAAAGGCAGCTGTTATGATAACCGGAACATGAAAAAACAGGCTGTGATAAACTCTGAAAACTCGAAATAATTCCATGATACCACTCCATGAACATTCTGTGCTAGTTGAATCAGTAATATGTTTAATAGACAGAACAGATAGATATTTTTTAAAAAAGACACAGAAAAGCATTGTTTGACAAAACACCAGTGTCCTAAAAATTGTTTCAATAATAATATAGTATTAAGTAGACCAGCTGGCCCAGTGCTTTTTGAATATCAGCAGATATAGTTTTCATTTCCTCTAAGTGAGAGGGCTCTTGGCTAGGTCAGCATCGTCCAACAGAATTAGGAAGTTCATGGTCCAGTAGAAGCCTAAAACGGACCGCATTTGTGGTTTTTAATTTCCTAGCAGTCACATTAAAAAATGCTTTGAAAAGTCAAAATTAATTCTAAGAATTTACTTTGACAGATTATATCCAAAAGATTACTATCTCGGCTGACATACATCAGCATAAAAATATCAATGAGACATTGTGCCTCCCTTTTCTTTACGAAGTTTTCTAAATGTGCAGCATTTCTGGGCCCTTCTGTTTGGGTTTTGTTTTAGCTACATTCTGACATCTGGTTAACCTAGATGGTTTCGTAAGCGAATTAAAAGCCAAGAGAGCATAAATAATCAATTCCTGTCCCGTGTCCAACTCACTTACTCCGTTCCTATGCCGTAATTTCCTCTTCTGTTCGTTAGGGTTAAACAGGCATTCTCTACAGATAACAGCATTAGACCCGCTAAACGGCGCCCCGGAAGCACCAAAGAGCTGCCCAGTGTAAGGGAAAAATCCCGAATTTTCCTCTTGCGTTTAGAGTTCTGACAGATGTGAAGAAATGCAAAGTAAGAACTCGTTAGCCTGGCTCTGTGGCTCCGTTGGCTGAACGGGTCCCGGGCCCCAGGAGGTCCCCGGTTCCATTCCCGTCTGGGCACATGCTCTGGCTTCCAGCCCCCCAGTGGGGGTCGTGCAGGAGGCAGACGGTGGTTGTTTCTCTCTCATCATCAATGTTTCTCTCTCTCTCCCCCTCCCTCTCTCTGTAAAAATTCACTGGTCAGCCTCACCACTGTCTTAAAGAAACTCCCACAAGCAGCCCAATCTCCCTCCTGCTCACGTGCACGAGCCGAGCAGGGAGCTGCGGCATTAGACGTGTCACTGAGACCGAGGTGGCGATGTCCTCGCCTTGCTGTTCCTGTGGGCAGAGCTCTAACGCTTCCTCCCAGGATGACAGCATGGTCTTCTCCTTCTCGCCTCCTCCTGTGTCCCCTCCCGTGCCCTCACCCCCGGAATGACTCAGCTCTCCCCGGGGCTGGCTTAGAGAGCGGACCCGCCATCAGAGGCCACAGGCCCGGATGCAGACCATCAGCCTTTATTTTTTCCCTAGAGGATTGGTACCTGGGATAGATGGGCTGCACGTTGGCGAGATAGAAGCTTTCTGTCACATGGGCTGTTCATATTCAGACAGCCTCCTCTGGCAGCCAACAGGGCTGCGAACGTTGCCCAGGAATAAACAAAAAACAAAAACAACCAACAATAAGAGAGAAGATAATTGCTGAATTTCATAGCCTTCTAAAATGGCTGCTAGGAACGGAAAAGTTAAGCATTGACTTTCGTTTCCTCTCTTAGGCAAATGTTTTTATTTTTAGAGAGGGAAAGAGAGAGGAATACTGATGTGTTGTTTCACTTATCTATGCACTCATCGGCTGATTCTTGTATGTGGCCTGACCGGGCATCGAACCCGCAACCTTGACATACCGGGATGACGCTCTAACCAACTGAGCCACCGGCCAGGACCGGCAAATGTGTTTTTTATGCAACTCAGGACCATAGGCAAGTGTGTTTCTGAGTCTGTATGATCAGTATCAGCCACTACTGACATCAACACCCTGAAAACATATTGAAATGTCAGAGCATCTCTTTTATAATCACCTCACCATGACTTGAATAATAACTGACCCCTCCCCTTGCAGTCAGCGGATTGGTTTCCATAGTAACACGAGTTAAAGGATGAGCACTTGCGCTACAGAATCCATCCGATTAGGGGAAGGACCGAGTTTTTCCTGAGAGTCGTGTTGGCCACTGGAGGACATGCCACTCACTACAGTCAGCTGACACGTTCTTCTTGCATATGTAACACACCAGAGATGTATACATCTGCTCACTGTTTAGCATCTGTGAACACACCAAAGATGTGTGCATCTGCTCACTGTTTTGCATACGTGAACACACCAAAGATGTACACACCTGCTCACTGTTTTTCATATGTGAACACACCAAAGATGTCCACACCTGCTCATTCTTTTGCATACGTGAACACACCAAAGATGTGTGCGTCTGCTCATTGTTTTGCATCTGTGAACACACCAAAGATATGTGCATCTGCTCACTGTTTTGCATACGTGAACACACCAAAGATGTGTGCGTCTGCTCATTGTTTTGTTTTGTTTTTAGCTGACATTTTCTGTTTGTATTTAAGTTCCTATGTTGTCCTAATTGTGGCCAATAAAATTTAAAGTCATTTCACAATTTCAGATAGCAACATAAAACAAATATTGGCACTGCGTTGAACCTTAAATTCCTTCTTTAAAGTACTAACTACGTAGTAAAAATTTGCTCCATTTTACTTTTTTTATGACTATATTCACAAGTTTTGATTTGTTTCTCTCACATTGATGTTTCTCTCTCTCTCAAATAAAATAAAAATAAAAAAGAACACGTCTTCCTCAGTGTTCCCCTACTAACAATATTGATCTAAAATGTAAATTCAGATAAAACAAGAGCCTTGAATGCTTAGACACAAGGTCACTGGCATGGCTGAGCTCGGGGCTCCTAAACGATGAATGTATTACAGAAGAATTAGCTGTTAGTAGATTGATGACTATATTCACAAGTTTTGATTTTATTTGTTTCTCTCACATCGATGTTTCTCTCTCTCTCTCAAATAAAATGAAAATAAAAAAGAACACGTCTTCCTCAGTGTTCCCCTGCTAACAATATTGATCTAAAATGTAAATTCAGATAAAACAAGAGCTTTGAATGCTTAGACACAAGGTCACTGGCATGGCTGAGCTCGGGGCTCCTAAACGATGAATGTATTACAGAAGAATTAGCTGTTAGTAGATTGCGGGCAAGTAAAACTAAATAACCACTGCCCTTAAATTCTACTTTTTTAAGAAACATCCTTCAAAAGCTTACTGAAGCGTCGTGAGTGTTGAGCCCGTAGGCATGTGCTCATCCGTAAACATGCGTGCACATACACGCGTGTGAGGACCGGTCCCGTTGTGTTTCAGATGTACATCACCAGCACCGTCAAAGCCAAGGGCACGCGCCTCGCGAAGCCCGTCCTGTGCCTGGGCCTCCTGTGCTCCGCCTTCCTCACCGGCCTCAACAGAGTCGCCGAGCACCGGAACCACTGGTCGGACGTGATCGCGGGCTTCCTGGTGGGGACGTCGATCGCCGTGTTCCTGGTGAGTGCGGACAGGTGCAGAGTCGCCGAGAGAGCGCGGCGGTT